CTGCTAGCACTGAGTTTCTAGGGAAACAGTTTAGTACTGATAGAGCTATCCATAATAAAAAAGTTTAGTTTAGGTTTCCTCCTATAGTGACACTGGATCAATAAGAGATGATCCTTACTGGACCTCTAGGAAGAACAGTTTAGTACTGATAGAGCTATCCATAATAGAAAAGTTTAGTTTAGGTTTCCTCCTGTAGTGACACTGGATCAATAAGAGATGATCCTTACAGTTTAGAACTGATAGAGCTATCCAGTATCCAGTATACAAATCTGAAATACTTTTCATCCCATAACTTGTTTTCTTGTTCATCAAGGGAAAGCACAGACATCGTTCAAAGAATAAACACAAGAAAAAATCGAAAACGAAGGACTCGGAGGACGGTGTGACGGAGTCTAGCGAGAAAAAACATAAATCGAAAAAGAAAAGTCGACAAAAGAATGGTAAAACTCGCGAGAAAGCGGAGGGTACTGGGGCGGACTATGAATCCTTTTAGGAAATTATTAGCAGGTTTTATGATCGATTTCATGCCGAGTAACAATCTCGTACCCAGGCCTTCTGTCCTTGTGGCTCTCAGAAGCTCTGGGTACGAGGTTGATGCAGTAATTGTTACAGGACAGGAGATGAACAAGATGTGGACAGCCAGAAAATAAAACTATATATAATGAAAAGAATGAACATTATTTTCTCACTTTGATAACTGCAGGTTGATCATCATCTGCTGTACGATGGTGCTTTTGAAACCTACTAATGCACAACGCTGAATCGAGGCAAGTGAATTAAATCCCAATATTCGTCAATTCCACTGAAATAATTTGCTAAATTTCCTTATTTTGGGGAGAGAAAGTCGATCGCTAAACTGAACGACCAAGGAAGATTGGCTTCCTCTCAAAGATGGTACTTATTCATCATCTTACATTGGCACGATTTATACACGGACCATCTATGACGACGCATTATTCGACGGATCACCCCTCTCAGTGTGTTTAGATGAACTAGCTAAAATATAGTGTGAACCAAGACGAACACTACGCACAGAAATTCCTTCTAGTTGAAGAATAATTCATTAATGATCCGTTTGCCGCATTTATATACTCACTCAGAAAAATTATTAGACGAACTTTTCTTTGTCCAAGTTCGTCCAGAGCAATACTTACCAAATGAACAGTAAATTTATAATGTTTTGAGGTATGGGTGAGTAGTTGTATGACAAGTTAGGCCTGTTTTACACGTCGAATTTCGGTCGCGTCGAATGCATAAATATCTTATATACACTAGATAGCGCATCTCTTTTAGTAAAATTGAAGCCAAGAATATTCCAGCGGTTACCGCATTTGAATAGATGGCGGCCATGTTGAAGTTTCCACTCGCTAATAAACGCTTTAAAAACAACAATAACTTTTATCATTTAAATAGTTTAAAATGTATTTGGAATAGGTTTAACTTAATGTTTAAGTTCCCTGTTTAAGAAATGGAAAACAAACGAATCTCCTCATTTCATGGGAATATCTTGAGTCTAGGGTTCGGGTTAGGGTTAGGTGGTGTTTCGGTGGTGTTCCGGTAGTCAGTGTTTTACTACATGCCACCGAAATTCGTCGTATAAAACAGACCTTAAGTCTGTTTTCCACTTCAACCATATCGTAACGTATCGTAGCATTTTCTTTTGTGTCGAAGTCATTAGTTCCACTCTAGTGGTCAGGAAACAAAGAAATGCGCCACGCTTCGCTTCGCTACGATTGAAGTGGAGTACCACTTCGAATGTTGTAGGTAAAGTTACCAGATCTACCCTTCTTTAAATCACTTATTAAGTTATACTCTATACAATGTTTGCAATACACCCTTCGGGAAAGTATGTCACTTTGGCTATAGAGCCTCGCTTTTCTGTGACATTGCACTTTAAGACCTTTAACTAATGCCACAGAATGTTACATGCAGGAAAACGAGGCTCAATGGCCAAAGTGAAGTACTTTCCCGAAGAGTGTATTAATTGTGAGATAATTGGACTGCTATATCAGTCAGAATTTAGAATTAAAGTGTAATAATATTTTGTAAGTTTTTCATTTGGTGAATCTACCTGACTGGTTTTCCTATGTATTCTATAGTTATAACCCAGCAAAAAATGTTGACACTTACAGCAGCAAGAAATTAAATTACATCTCACAATTCCATTTATTTGCCTACTAATAAATCCAAGTCATTAATTTGACCAAAATTTGAGCACCATCAAACATCACTATTTTGACAGTTTTGATTTGGAGCACTTGTGGCAAGATGGCGGGAAGTTTAAAACCTTGCCTGTAAAATGTGAAGATAAAAATACGTAGAAAAAGCTATATTTTGAATAAAGTACGCATAGGCGTACCGGGCGGGGGGGGGCGGCAGCCCCCCCAGTTTTTTGGGCAGTCGGGCAATATGCGATCAACAGTCGGGCAATTTTGGCTTGCAATAAAAAAAATGGGACAAATTCTGTCAATTTTGTCTAAAATTAAGTAAATTTTTTGGGAAATTTTGAGATTTTTCTAAAATTTGTGTTATGTTCCGAAAAAAATTGGTTCTCCGGAAAAATTTTTCGACCCCTAAACTGGAACACTGACCGAAATTTTTTTGGCGACGGGGGGGGGGGGTTGCCAAAATAATTTTTCCGGAAAAATTTTTTTGATACTAGTCGGGCAGAATTCGAAAAGTCGGGCAATTTTCTTTCCGCCCCCCTAATTTTTTCCTTCCGGTACGCCCA